AGTCACAGTTAGGCGGCGGGTACGTGACCATTACCTCACCTGTCAATTAGCGCCCAAAGCCCCAGGAATGGTCTCCAGCCATGTTTTTTATTTGCATTGGTAATGGGCTGCGGGCTATTTTGGAGAGGAGCAGACAGCAGCTTGGGAAACGTGTGAATCACCAGGGAACACGCGGGATTTGTAGGAGCGCTGTATGGTCGCACCATCTGTGATCATCCTCTGAAATCACTTTTGATTTATTGCAGGTGTTTGTTTTTTTTTTAGATTCCCGGCCTCGCTTTGGGCTCTGCCAGCATTTTGATTTGTCAGCCGGGGGCAACCCTGATTTTATAAAAAAAGAAAAAAAAACAGAAAGCAATCTGCAAAATGAATCTACAGAACATCATGGGTGGAAATGTAAGAACCCATTAAGACAGCAATGAGGCAGATTGAGAGCGAATACTTCGCCAAACTCACTCTCCTCTCGATGGTTTGGGTTCTGACGTGCACTTTGTTATGTGAAATGGTGTTACGCTAATAAAGGCAGAGCGGCGGTTAAAAGAGATCCATCTTCAGAGAGACACGTGACGTTTGCAGCCTGAGTGTGGGCATTTGCGGCGGCTGTTAGTTTCTCATGTTTTTGTTTCTGTAAAACCAGTCAGGGTCGGCCTGTGCAGAAGCTTGTGAGCCCGGTCATTTGCCCAGGCCCATTAGGATGCCTTTATCAAGGTTTCCGACCTATCACAGGTTCCATTACAGGTGCACCTCAGCCATTTTCTCTGCTTTTACTGCCATCGCTCCTCTGTAAGGGTTCCATTAACAGAGCTGCTGTAGGGGAATAGAACTAGCGTGTCTTGCGATTGCTTTTACTAGATTTTTATGACCCGGACTCAGGTTTTGTCAGAGTACAACCTCACTATGGATTGTGGCCGGACAATTGCTCTTGAAGTTCATCTTTCACGAGTCAGAGATCTTTCTATTTCTCTGTCTGCTCTGTTCTTACTTCAAACTTAACTAGCACTAACTATTGAGTGGTTACAACATTTTTAATGGAAAGTAGAACACCTAGAACTAATTATGTTTACATCTGCTGTCTGCATACCTCATGCACTTTCTTCAGTTTTAGAGATCATTAGAAAAGACAATATGTTGATTTCCCAGTTTGTGAATCAGACGTTTTTTGTTTTTTTTTAACATGCATATGATGTGAAATATTTCGCCACCTTTGTTCTTGGAAGCGCTTCTGCCAACTTTGACATCGCAGTCAACTTGTCGACATTGCTGTGCGACACCATCAATTGACCATACTGGATTAAGAACTTAACCGTGAACAACCAAAAAAACACCTTAAACCTATTGTGTGTCTTTTTAAATGTGGCACCATGATGATTGTCTTCTGTGGGTTTTATACTAATTAAAATAAAATCTAACTCTTCTGATTGAAACCATAAGAAAGTAACCTTTTGGCAACATTTCAATAACCTTTTCATTATAGTTGTATTCAGAAATTCCCCCACAAAAAATCCACTTAGGAACAGTTAGGCAAATTAAATGTTGTTCTACTGCAGAACCTATTGTGGAGGCTCTGTTAAAATAAGTTTGTGGTTGCTGTCGATTCAATGTTCTCCCATTTCAGCCTTATATTGATCTCATATATACATAAACACTCATTTCTGAAAATTATTTGTAGCATGACAAAGTTATTAGTATTGGAAAAAAAGTAGATTGTTTGTGTGCGGGTCGATGTGGCTTTTTTTCCCCTTGTTTCTTTTATACTAAGCAAAATGCGTTCTCCCAAGCTTGTTGATAACAAATTTGAACATTTCTCTTTTTTGGAGGTGAAAAAAATTAAATAAATAAGTCCTTCTCACTTATTGCTGGGACCTCAGCACACAAGGCACGTCCGGAGCATAATTGATTTATGGACATGTTTTGTAGACCAGGAAAAGGCTTGTAAATATGATTGATTACTCCCAAATCTGCTGCAACTGGCATTCACGCAGACCCGGGATTGATCCCTGCTCGCGGTAGCCAGAGAAGGTTCGGGTCAAGCTGCCTGTCATTCTCTTACAGAGTCCACTAAAGAGTCCACCAAACTGCAAACGCTCATTGTGGGTTTTATTGAGAAGTGGAAAAACAAAGATCAGGACAGTTTTACAAAGGCCCTAAGTGTCAGCTCAGCTGCTTTGGACCTTCCCTGTTGTTTTCCAGAAGGTTCCAGGTTGACTGGAACCTTCTGGACAGTTTTACAAAGGCCCTAAGTCTCAGCTCAGCTGCTTTGAACCTTCCCTGTTGTTTTCCAGAAGGTTCCAGGTTGACTGGCGTAATGATCCGTGACAAAATCTATGAGGAGAACTTATCATCCTTAAAATTGGAAGAATCTGGACGGAGAAGGACAAATTGCAGGACATGATATCTGCGCTGATAATATTTCCATCTCCATGTCAGCCACGTTTCCCCCCCCCCCCTCTGTCTGAAGCAGAGGGGGTGAGAACAGGAACAGGACAGCCATGCGGCCGCCTTTTCTGTGCAGAGGGACTTATTTTACTCCATCGATAGCGGTGCCGAGTCCACAACAGGTGGTATCCTTTTTTTTCCTTCAGCCCGGCTGTGCGTAAATACCCTGATTTAATATAGAACTCCACAGCTGCCAGTTTGATTAAACCCAAAGCGCTGCAC